GTAAGCTGATATACTATGACTGGTACGGTGTAAGTCACCTGATATACTATTACTGGTACGGCGTAAGTCACCTGATATACTATGACTGGTACGGCGTAAGATATTGATTGATATGAATTAAGATTAGGGAGACAAATAGTATCCCAAACCATTGTAGCACTCAATGGGAACCTTCGGAGTATCGCACTGCAATCGAAGATATAAAAAAAATAATTAACAACTGCATATTGTAAATTACCACTTATTCAATACACTACATTTGGAAACAATATGTCTTCCGGATAACTGTCTGTGGAAAAATGAAATATCCCCGTCATAAGTTTGCTTTAGAAAGGTAAATAAAACGAAATAAACATACAAAAATAACCTTAGTTATAGGAGTTATGGATGCAGTCGATTTTTAATTGTGTTCGATGTCACGCGTAGCAGAATGTCGTGGCAAGTTAGCTGGCTATGGAATAAGACAGTGGTAATGATATAGCTGACTATGGATTAAGACAGTGGTAATGATATGTAGCTAGCTATGGACTAAGACAGTGGTAATGATATAGCTCGCTATGGAGTAAGACATCAGTAATGATATAGCTGGCTATGGAGTTAGACAGTGGTAATGATATAGCTGGCTATGAAGTAAGACAGTGGTAACGACATAGCTGACTATGAAGTAAGACAGTGGTAACGACATAGCTCACTATAGAGTAAGACAGTGGTAATGATATATCTCGCTATAGAGTAAGACAGTGATAATGATATAGCTGGCTTTGGACTTAAACAGTGGTAATGATTTAGCTCGCTATGGAGTTAGACAGTGGTAATGATATAGCTGACTATGAAGTAAGACAGTGGTAACGACATAGCTCACTATAGAGTAAGACAGGGGTAACGACATAGCTCACTATAGAGTAAGACAGTGGTAATGATATAGCTGGCTATGGAGTAACACAGTGGTAATGATATAGCTCGCTATAGAGTAAGACAGTGATAATGATATAGCTGGCTTTGGACTTAAACAGTGGTAATGATTTAGCTCGCTATGGAGTTAGACAGTGGTAATGATATAGCTGGCTATGAAGTAAGACAGTGGTAACGACATAGCTCGCTATGGAGTAACACAGTGGTAATGAGATATCTCGCTATAGAGTAAGACAGTGATAATGATATAGCTGGCTTTGGACTTAAACAGTAGTAATGATTTAGCTCGCTATGGAGTTAGACAGTGGTAATGATATAGCTCGCTATGGAGTAACACAGTGGTAATGATATAGCTCGCTATAGAGTAAGACAGTGATAATGATATAGCTGGCTATGGAGTAAGACGGTGGAAATCATATAGCTCACCATAGAGTAAGACAGTGGTAATCATATAGCTCGCTATGGAGTAACACAGTGGTAATGATATATCTCGCTATAGAGTAAGACAGTGATAATGATATAGCTGGCTTTGTACTTAAACAGTGGTAATGATTTAGCTCGCTTTGGAGTTAGACAGTGGTAATGATATAGCTGGCTATGACGTAAGACAGTGGTAACGACATAGCTCGCTATGGAGTAACACAGTGGTAATGATATAGCTCGCTATAGAGTAACACAGTGGTAATGATTTAGCTCGCTTAGGAGTAACACAGTGGTGATGATATATCTCGCTCTAGATTAAGACAGTGATAATGATATAGCTGGCTTTGGACTTAAACAGTGGTAATGACTTAGCTCGCTATGGAGTTAGACAGTGGTAATGATATAGCTCACTATAGAGTAAGACAGTGGTAATGATATAGCTCACTATAGAGTAAGACAGTGGTAATGATATAGCTG